AATTCCTCATCCAGCCAAACCATCCTCAGCAGCTGAGCTCTGGTTTTCCAGGCCCTCCTCTTCCTCTGGCTGCTGCCAATGCTCCTGGTGGGATCAGACCCATCCTTATGGAAAACCGTGTGGAATATTCCTTGCAGGGCTGATCCTTCCGAGATCAACATTTCGGACGAGATGTCCAAGACCACGGTGTGGAAGGCTCTGACCATGAACACAGAAACGCTCTGAAGCCGGGAGGAAGGAGGTAAAGGCTCAGCTGTGGCGTGGCCTTGTGGGGACAGCACGTTCCCAGCCTCTGGCCAGGGCACATTCCTGGGAACAAGCAGCAGGACCACGGCACCAGCTCCTCTCTGCAGGGAAGTTTGATCCCTGGAATCCTGGGATCACACTGGGACCCTACCTCCAGAGAGGCTTTGAGTGGCTGGAGGCATCTCCAGAGCTTGGAGTGGAGCTGGAGAAGGGCTGGAGCACCAGGGGAGGGTCTGGAGAGCTCCTGAGGGAGCTGGAAAGGGGCTCAGCCTGGAGAAAAGAGGCTCAGGGAGGACCTTGTGGCTCTGCACAGCTCCTGACAGGAGGGGACAGCTGTGGGGGTTCAGAATCTGCTCCCAGAATGGACAGGAGGGGACGGAATGGCCTCAGGTTGACCAGGGAAGATTCAGGTTGGATACTGGGGAAAATTCCTTCATGGAAAGGTTGTCCAAGCCTTGGTGGAGCCATCAATCCTGGAAGAGTTCCTTAAACTTGGATATGGTGAACATGGTGGTTGACGGTTGGATTTGATGATCTTAAACACCTTTTCCAACCTGAACAATTCCACGGATCTCTGATTCTGGGTCTTCCACTGATGACACCTCCCCCTTTTCCCTCCTTTCCCCCCATGCCCACGTAGGCGCCTCGACGCCGCCGTCGAGGAGCAGGGATGTGACTCAGGGATGTGCCAAGGCAGACACGGAGGAGCGGCTCCTTCCCCACCCGAGGGGTCCCATAAAGCCATGCAGAGTTTCCCGTTCCCCGGGCTGCTGCGTCCCGGGGATCCGTGTTGTCCAGCCTCGTGTGTCCTCGTGTGCGTGTGTTGTGCAGTGGTGGAGGCTCCGCTACCGCTTCCCATCAGTTCTATTTTTTTAATCTCGAATTACTCCTCTCCTTCCTCTTTTTTTTTAATTATTTTTTTTTTTTTCCAAATAAAAACTCTGAATGTACAAAACCATTCCCTGCTTGATCTGGCGCCTTCTCCTTCCTTACAGCTGGGGTTTTGGTCTGGTCTGGGATCCTCCTCTGGATAACTTCTGTCTCTTACTGTCTCAGAAATTGGGGTGAACCACCCCTGAGCACTTGGGATAACACAAAGGAAAAAAATTTGCTCCCTATGCTCCATTTTCCCATCTTTTTTGAGAGTGATTTTTGGGCTCTGCCACCAGCCTGAAAGCAGTAAAATCCAGAAATGTCCCTTTTTAGTCAGCTCTAAAACGACCGTAAGGGAAGCTTAAAAATAAAATCCCTGGATTTTGGTGGTGGGAGCAGCTAGGTGAGATGTGGAGCTTTGCACCCCCAGAATCCCAACCCTTGTTCCTTCACTTCTCTTCCTGTCACCTCCCTGGACTCTGGTTTTTCCTTCACCCCTGTCCTTGCAAAGCCTCTTCGGGGCCGGCAGGGAGCTGGGAATGCCTTTTCCTCCGGGAGGGGCGAAGCTCCTGAAGCTCTCCCCACATTCTGGGGGCTTGGGGGGCTCTGGTGTCCCCCTGGGATGTGTGGAGCTGGGAAGAGAGGACATTGCAGAGGAAAAAGGAGGAACATGCTCCAGCCTCTTGGAATATGCAGCTGGGACAGGAGCATGAGCTCATCCCACCCCTCTTGGAGCCTTTTCCTGCACGGATCCACCCCAAAAGGATGATGGTTGGGGAAAAGAAAATGTGGAATTGCTCTGTAAGGATGGAGGGCAGAACTCCCTCAGATTTAAGGATGGGGGTTTGGAAGGGGAACTTCACTCCTGCCAGCCCACCATGGGCAGAGGCAGAGCAGGAAAAGCTGCTTTGGCCTTCAGGAAGGAGAGGAGGGGAAAAATGAAGTAAATCGGAGAAACGGAAAGTTGGGATGGGTGGGATCCTACACTTGGACAAGTTTGGTTTTCCTGGTTTCTTTTTCTCTCTGGGAATAGAGAGACAGGGCTGGGGAGGGAAGGAGGGAAGGAGGGAAGGAAGGAAGGAAGGAAGGAAGGAAGGAAGGAAGGAAGGAAGGAAGGAAGGAAGGAAGGAAGGAAGGAAGGAAGGAAGGAAGGAAGGAAGGAAGGAAGGAAGGAAGGAAGAGCTCCGTATTTTGGGAGGATTTAATATTTCCTTGTGCAGGGGAAAGCAACACAGAGAGAAAACCTTCCTGAAATGGTTCCTGGAGCTGCTTTAGGGATAAACCCGAAATATCTTTGGAATGACCCAGAAAGTGAAATCTGACATCAATCCCCTCCCACTTCCCCCAGGGCCTTCCAGACTATTCCCAAAAGGAAATCCATGGGAATGGGGACGACAAAGGCTGTAAACAGGGAATAAATCAAACAGGGAATAAACCAGGTTCTTTATGTTGTTTTTGTGGTCTCTGTGAAAATTCTGGAGTTGTTTCTCTTTCTGAGAGGTGGAAATAATTTTATTTATTTTATCCCAAGGGAGTTTGGGAACGCCGTGGGCTGGAAATAAAACCAAGGGAGGGAATTTTTAATTTAAAAAAAAGATTTTATTTTTAGAATTATATTATTCTAAAATTAATGTATCTTTAATTTTAAAACTATTTTATATTTAAATTATTCTACTTTTTTGATTATTTAAAATTATTTAATTTTTAAACTAATATATTTTAAAAGTATTTTCTAATATTTTTTTTTCCAAATTATTTTATCTTAAAAGGATTATATTTAAAACATTTCGTTTTTTAATTCTATATTTAAAATTTTAATTTAATTTAATTTATTTCTCAGTGGGAGTAGCTGTGTCACATGTGTCCCCTGTGCCAACCCTGGCTGTGCTGGGACTCCAGGAATGCCCTAGAGAGGTGAAATTCTCCATCCAGAGCTGTAGTCTCTGCTGCCTTTCTGAGCTTTTTTTGGGCCCACTTGCCCCGTAATTAATTAGAACTAAATTAACTCCAAGGAGGTTCTTCGGATCCAGGTTAAATTGGAATAATTTAACACCTAAAAGGGTATTACTGCAGGGTTTTACCTGAATTTCTCTCCAATTTCTTTTGGCCCTTATCTGTGAGGTCAGGTGGGCAGATCCTGGTTATGTTTTATCCAAAACTTGAGGAATTGAGGGAAAAATGAGGCACCAAGTGAGGAGTCAGAGGCTCAAAATCCCCGGGGTCCGTGTGGGATCCCAGTGGGATGCTTGGAAAGGTTGGAGACATCAGGATTGAGCAAAGGTTTTATTGGCATTTAGGGAAAACTGCGGGGAGAAGGAAGCCAGAGGGAAATCCAGGTTGGAGGGATGGTGGATCCATGGGGGCAGATTTCAGGAGGAGCTCCCAGGGACCGTGGGCTGGGTCTGGGAACTGTGGATCCTTCTCGTGGAGCTCCAGGGATCACAGGCTGATGGGTGAATCCTTCCCGTGGAGCTCCAGGGATCACAGGCTGATGGGTGATGGGTGAATCCTTCCCATGGAGCTCCCAGGGAAGAATTCCTGGGATCACAGGCTGATGGGTGGTGGGTGAATCCTTCCCGTGGGGCTCTGAGGGATCATGGGCTGGGTCCAGGAGCTGCAGGTCATGGGTGAATCCTTCCCATGGAGCTCCCAGGGATCACAGGCTGATGGGTGATGGTGAATCCTTCCCGTGGAGCTCCAGGGATCACAGGCTGGTGGGTGATGGGTGAATCCTTCCCGTGGAGCTCCCAGGGATCACAGGCTGGTGGGTGATGGGTGAATCCTTCCCGTGGAGCTCCCAGGGATCACAGGCTGATGGGTGATGGTGAATCCTTCCCATGGAGCTCCCAGGGATCACAGGCTGATGGGTGATGGGTGAATCCTTCCCGTGGAGCTCCCAGGGATCACAGGCTGATGGGTGATGGTGAATCCTTCCCGTGGAGCTCCCAGGGAAGGATTCCAGGGATCACAGGCTGATGGGTGATGGGTCAATCCTTCCCGTGGAGCTCCAGGGATCAGAGGCTGATGGGTGAATCCTTCCCGTGGAGCTCCAGGGATCACAGGCTGATGGGTGATGGGTGAATCCTTCCCATGGAGCTCCAGGGATCAGAGGCTGATGGGTGAATCCTTCCCATGGAGCTCCCAGGGATCACAGGCTGATGGGTGAATCCTTCCCGAGGAGCTCCAGGGATCACAGGCTGATGGGTGATGGGTGAGTCCTTCCCGTGGAGCTCCCAGGGAAGGATTCCTGGGATCACAGGCTGATGGGTGAATCCTTCCCGTGGAGCTCCCAGGGAAGGATTCATGGGATCACAGGCTGATGGGTGATGGGTCAATCCTTCCCGTGGAGCTCCAGGGATCACAGGCTGATGGGTGATGGGTGAATCCTTCCCGAGGAGCTCCCAGGGATCACAGGCTGATGGGTGATGGGTCAATCCTTCCCATGGAGCTCCCAGGGATCACAGGCTGATGGGTGATGGGTCAATCCTTCCCGAGGAGCTCCCAGGGATCACAGGCTGATGGGTGATGGGTGAATCCTTCCCGTGGAGCTCCAGGGATCACAGGCTGATGGCTGATGGGTGAATCCTTCCCGTGGAGCTCCCAGGGATCACAGGCTGATGGGTGATGGGTGAATCCTTCCCCTGGAGCTCCCAGGGAAGGATTCCTGGGATCACTGGGTGATGGGTGATGGGTGAATCCTTCCCGTGGAGCTCCAGGGATCACAGGCTGATGGGTGATGGGTGAATCCTTCCCATGGAGCTCCAGGGATCACAGGCTGATGGGTGAATCCTTCCCCTGGAGCTCCCAGGGAAGGATTCCTGGGATCACAGGCTGATGGGTGAATCCTTCCTGTGGAGCTCCAGGGATCACAGGCTGATGGGTGAATCCTTCCCGTGGAGCTCCAGGGATCACAGGCTGATGGGTGATGGGTGGATCCTTCCCGTGGAGCTCCCAGGGATCACAGGCTGATGGGTGATGGGTGAATCCTTCCCGTGGAGCTCCGATCCTGGCAGGTGAGGAGAGGCCCAACCTTCCTGCGTGGACACGGCTGGAAAGCTGCTGCCTGGATCTGCTGTTAATTGTACCTTAAAAACAAACCCCAAAGAGCTTCAGGGGGTGGAAACTCCTGCTAAAATCAGGAGTTGGGAAAGGGCAGGGAGGGTTCCATCGCTCAGGGAGGAGCCGCCCCTTGGGAATGGCTGGAGCAGAAATGCCAGTGATCCCAGGAGGATGAGGCTGGAATGAGGAGGAAAATGTGAGGACAAATCACGGGAAGGACAAAACAGCCCCTTCCCATCCCAGAGTTCCAATCCCACCGTAAATGCCTCCATTTTCCTGATCTTATTACAGGAGACCAGAGGATCCCCAGGAGCTGTTGGGCATCAGGAAAAGGGAGTCCAACCCTGCCTTGGCACCAGATCCATGGATTTCATGGTTTGGGTTGGGAGGGACCTCAAACCTCATCTCATTCCACCCCTTGCCAAGGGAGGACACCTTCCACAATCACAGGCTGCTCCAACCTGGTCCTGGACACTGCAAGGGATGCAGCAGCCACATCTGCTCTGGGAAATCCATTCCAGGGCCTCCCCACCCTCACGGGGAGGAATTCCTGCCCAATATCCCATCCATCCCTGCCCTCTGCAGTGGGAGCCATTCCCTGTGTCCTCGCGCTGCTCCAGGTCCCTCTCCAGCTCTCCATCAGGAGCGGGATTGGGGTGGTGGGTGGTTGTTTCCCAGCACAATCCCACCCCTCTCCCTGCTCCCGGCACCTCTTTGTGTTGATGAGCCAATGCACGAAGTCCTTGGCCTTCATCCTGTCCAGGTACCGCGTGAAGTCACTTGTGAAGGTCCCCTCCGAGTGCCGCTTGATGTGGGACAGGAAGCCCTGGGAGTTCTGGGCTCCAGACAACTTCCATCTGCTTGGGGTGGCAGGAGAAGGGAGGAAAATGGGGTTTAACAGACACCCCAGCAGGATCCTCCCCCAGGCAATGCCCAGGGCAGGGCTGTGCCCTCCAAACTCTGTCCCTGTGCAGATCATTCCCCAGAAAAGATGGAACAGTGCAGAGGAATAAAGCTGGAATATTCAATATGATTCCTACAAATCAAACACACAATTCTTCTTTCAGTTTCTGGAGATTTGCCGAGCCTGGCCTGGGTTTTCCTGGCATCCAATACATCCAGTGTCCTGTCCCAAACCATTCCCCTCATTCTGGCTCCACCCTGGTCCCTGCTTCCCACATCAGAGCAGGAACGTGGGGCTGCTCTGAGGTTTGGATCATCCTCCTGCAGCTCCAGGGTGATTCTGGGATTCCCTGCAGAGGGTTCCCAAAGGATTTTGTGCCATGGGAACACCAGCCCAGATGGGGCTCAGCCCCAGCCGGGCTGACCTGGGGCAGGGTATCTCTGCTCTGAGCCAGGCAGGAAATCCTGGGATTCCCTACAGAAATTCCTGGGCTGTGGGGAGTTAGGAGGGAGTTTATTTGGATTCATACAAAATAAACGGGAACACTGGAATAGAGAGAGCTGGGACAGCCACAGGAATGGAGAGGGATAAGCTGCTCCCACAGCCCTGCTCCACCCAGCCCCGTACCTGGACAGGTCCTCCAAGTCCTCGGGAGCCACCTGGCACCCGGCCGGGATGAGCACGGCGAACACCAGCCCTGACAGGTACAGCCACCGCACCATCGGAGCTCCTGGGGGCAGAAATCCAGGGAATTTCCTGGCTGCCATCCCCACCGAGCCCCCAAGCCCTGCAGGACATCCTGGCAGCACAGCCAGGACTGCTCCATGTGGCACAGCCCCTTCCAGTGGTGTGGGCAGGATCGGGGTGGGTGTGTGTGGCAAATCCCATCCTCACCCTTCCCTGGGGCACACAGGGCACACAGAATGACACCCAAAGATAAAATTGCTATGAACTTTATCTCAAACCTCCCTTTTCTATCTGGGGGTGACATTTCTATCCTGGAACTATCACCACAGTTCTGGAGAACTTTCCCACTGCTCGGAAAAGCACCTTCCAGAAGAGCAGGTTTATTTATATTTTACATTTCTCATTTTTGCTGGACACCTCAGAAATTCTGCAGGAATAAAACGCCACCTCCCACCCTTTATTTGCCAAAAATCAAACTTCTGTTGCCCATCACCAAATGTTTTCTTCACCTGGTTAGATTCCTTTGGAGACTGAGAGGATGAAGGGAGGAAGAGGCACCTACCTTGGGGATTGAGCTGCTCCCTCCACACCAGATCTGATTTTCCTCCTTCAAGCCGCTTCTGGCTGAACCCTTCTCTTCTCTGGTGCTTTTAAGCACGTCTGGAGGATGCCCAGAGCTGACAGGTGGGTCACAGGTATCCTGCTTTTCCTCAGACAGGTCACTGTGAATCATTACAGCTTTTCAGGAGTGGGGTTGCTGCAGACAATATTGTTACTGGTGGATTTTCCAATTGACGCCTTCAATGAAGTTTTTTTTTTTTAATTGTTGTTGCTGTTTTTCTTATATTTGCTTTTTTTGCCTCCTACTTTTTGGACCAAAGCAGTGACCTGTGGGTTTCCTCCTCTCAGGTGAGGTGGCCTCTTGCTGGCACAGTGTGTCCTGCACGGATTCCTGCCCACGGGCCCCCCTTTCCAGTGCCTTCACTGGAGATAAGAAACAAGGAAAAAGAGAAAAGGCATAAACCAACGATTTGTGTCTCCAAACACTTCCAGCCACGTGAAATTCCTGCTGCAGCTCCTCAGCCAGGCAGATCCACTTGTGATCCCAGGCTGGTGTGGTTCCCTGAGTCCAGACCTGAAACTGGGGCTGCTCCCTGTGATTTATGGGATTTGGGGGTGAAATGAGGCCCATGAGAGGCTGCAGGTCTGGATCCCTGTGAGACATCCAGGCTCAGCCCAGGAGCCCTGGGAACACCTGGAACTCAGAGTTTTCCAGGGCGCCCCATAGGAACTGGGCTCATTTGTTTCAAATCCTTGAGGAAAAAGGAAAAAGGAGAAGGGGAAAATTGAGGGCAACCCTCCCTGAATTTTCCTAATCCCTAAGGAGCTGGATCTGAGCCTGGAGGAGGGTGGGGGCTCCCTCCCTCAGCTCCCTGAAGGGTTTCTCCCCACCTGGGGGGCAGGTGGGCTCCTGGGGGCTCTTCATTCCCAGTGTGGATGGCAGGAGGTGTTTCCAGGGCAGGTTTGAGATCTCTGGGGCATTTCCAGCCAAGGAGGAATGTCCAGGGTTTGTGTTTCGGGGTCTGAATGTGCCTTTCCTGGGGAGCTGGGCTTTGTCTCTCCCACCAGGAGAGATGAGGGCTCCAGGTGCAGATTTCTTTCTGTGCTCTCCCCCCGGGACCTTTCTGCTCGTGCCTGGGTAATTATTGTCATTCCACCACGGAGAGTTCTGTAATTACTGCCACTGTCAAAATAAGGTCGTTGTTCGGGGGACACTCATCCTGAGGAGCCTTTAATGAGGGCCACTCACGGCCTTTGAGGGAGCCTGACATCACCCGAGGGAGGGGGACATTAATTAGCTGAATCTCGTGGGGACAGAGCCAGCTCTCCTGCGCATCACTCGGGCGGGATGTTTGTTATTCATGCCACTAAATTAGCTCAGGATGTCGCAGTTTGCAATGTCCCCCCGGCCCGGGAGGTCACGGTGCGGAGGTGGCAGCGCAGGGAGGGGAGATCAGCTCAGCTGCTGCTCCTCGTGTGGCTCCTTGATTTTCTCACCGCGGCTCCCAGTGCTGGAGCATCCTCAGGGAATGTCCCCTGGGCCCTTTCCCCACAGCCCCGGGGGATTCTCTGCTGCCTTTTGGGACCTGGAGCTTCCCCATTCCAAGCAAACCCAGTCCTGCTCCCTTTCCCAGCGGGATGGAGCTGCCGGTGGCTCTCCCGGGCTGGAGGAGCAGGATGCTGAGCTTCGGGATCCTGCAGAGCTGAATTCATCCCAGTTCGGGACTTTGAGAGGTTTTTATGGACAGCAGGTGGCAGCGTTTGTCTGTCTGTCCGTCCTTCCCTGCCTGTCGGAATCTGGAATTGATGATTCTCAGATTGTAGAAATTCTCTGTCTTTCTGCCCCACTGCCAAAGCAGAAGCCATAATTCATCTGTGCTGTTTCAAGGTTGTTTATTCTGTTTATCTCTAACATGTTCTGCTGCCCTGCCGCAGCTCTGTCCCGCAGGGCAGCGTGTGGGGCTCTGCCCTCAGTGGGATGGTACAAACATTAAATACCACAAACTACCTGTGCTGGATTTACAATAACGTGTCAATATCTGTCACCTACGTTGGACAGTGTGTCCCCAGCCTGAACCAACAGAAAAATGCCAACACCACAGTGAAACATGGAGGGCATGAAGAAGGAGAAAAAGGACAAGGCACACCCAATTTCCTCCATCTTATCCCCTCTGAACCCCTAAACTAGAATCCTAAAATTTTACTTTTGCACCTGTGCCACACTTAATTATTACTCTTATCAAACACTCAGAGCTGGTAATTCATCCTGTAAGATTGAAAACTCTTTTCCATGGACAGAGATCACAGCCAGTGTCTCTGGGGGCTCTGTCCAGGGGGGTTCCTGACCCCTGCCAGGGTCCCAGACCTGCCAGGGCAGCCAGAGGGAAGCTCTGGATTCCCACACCTGCCCATCCTTCCTCCCCTGCCCTTCCTCATCCTCGTCCCCTCCTCCCTTCTCCGACGCTCCCAGAACTCCCCTCCAAGGATTGTGGCGAGTCCCTCTTTTTGGGGGTGGGAGGCCTCAAGCTGGGGATGCTGTCGGTGACATCACAGTGACATCAGAGTGACATCACAGCTGAATTGGGATGGTTTGGAGTAAAATTCCGGCTCTGGGAACATCCCTGGAGAAGCAGCTTTGAGGCTACCAGAGCATCCTGTTCTGATGGAACAGGGACCAAAAAACTGATGAGGGAGAACTCCTGGAGCATGTCCAGACTCCACATCCACTGACTCTGGAGAAGCTCATCCATTCCCCATCCAGCCTTTTTCCTGTTTTTCCCAGGAGTGTCATGAGGATGAACTGCTCTCCAGGAGTGGGGAGAGGCAGGAGGTGCCGAGGCTGCTCCCACAGGGATGGTGGGACATGGTCCTGCTGCGGCTGTCCAAAATCAGCCTGGGAACGTGATGAGTTTGTCATGCATTGTAAATGCAGGTGAACCCAATGGGAAGAGATGACGATGTCTGACTCAGTTCAGAAGGCTGAATGATTTCTTTATTATAACTATGCTAAAATACATTCATACACTATATAAAAAGGAAGAGACTAAAACTACATAATACTTTCTCTAACTCTAACACAACTTGTGACCCACTCTCAAGAATCCAGACACAGGTGGATTGGATTGGATTGGATTGGATTGGATTGGACTGGATTGGATTGGATTGGATTGGATTGGATTGGATTGGATTGGATTGGATTGGATTGGATTGGATTGGATTGGATTGGATTGGGTTGGATTGGATTGGACTGGATTGGATTGGATTGGATTGGATTGGTTTGGATTGGATTGGATTGGATTGGGTTGGATTGGATTGGATTGGATTGGATTGGATTGGATTGGATTGGATTGGATTGGCCATCAGGCTCAAACAATCCTCACCAGAATCCAACCAAGCACTCACTCCAGGTAAACAATTCTCCAAACACATAAGAAAAACAAGGAGCAGAAATAGAAATTTTTTTCCTCTTTCATCTCTCTCTGTGCACCTCTATGAAAAATCCTGAGAGGGAGAGAAGTGACTTACCACAGTCATGGAACCCCAGATGATTTGGGTTAGAAGGGACCTTAAATCCAGTTCCATGTCCCTGCCACGGGCAGGGAAGTTTATGTTTAAACCTGCTCTTAAATTTAACCCAGATTGCTGAAGTGGGGTCAAACCAGGGGATGCTTCATTTTGAGGGGTTTATGGCTAATAGAGAAGAATAAAGGCTCGCCTTGCTCCTCTGAGAGCCCAGCCCAGGCTCTAACACGGGGCAGGGACTGGAGAACGTCCCCATCTGTCCCCCAGCAGCGGTTCCGAGCCCGGGGCCATGGGAATCAGCGCTTTCACTCCTGTTTTTCTCATGAAGGAGTTTGTGGCCTCCTCCTCCCCACCACAGCTGGAGGTGCCACAGTGGCCAAGGCAAGTCTGGTGAAGAGAAACCTCTTTTGGTCACTGGTTCCACCTGGAACCTCCCTGGTGACGCTGAGTTCCTGGGCTTGGTCCCAGCATTTTTTGGGCTGGTTTTTTCTGTTTTGCTTTGCAGGTGTTGAAGAGCCAAGGGAGGGGCCACTGCAGAGCGAAACTCTGCGTTCTCACCAGGTATTTTCACAGCTCTGAAGGGCTGGGGATTATTTCCTCTCCCCTTTGTGCCTGGTTTTTTGGCAGGAAACATCTCAGAGTTGATGTCCCACAGGCTTGGTGCTAGGGAGGAGCAGTGGGGTGGGAAGCTGAGCTGGTGCCAAGAGTGGGACTTGATGGGTTGAGCTGTGAGAAGTCAAAACTTGAGCCCTTCCCAAAACCCAGCTCAGGCTGATCCCTGTGGTGGATCCCCATTTCTGATGGATTTATGACTCTTCTCACATTGCTGGTGACAAACTGGGTGAGGTCCCTCTCGTCCCCAGTTCCCAGCACTCTTCTGTCCCCAGGCGCCTTCCCTGAGCTCTCCGTGTCCATAATCCCTGGACATGGACACGGAGCCACTGGGGCCAAGGA